ACACACACACACACACACACACACACATATATATATATATATATATATATATATATATATACTATATACACACACACACACACATAATATATATATATATACATACATACGTATGCGTATACACTTATATTCACACCCACAAGACATACCGTCCTGACTCATATCAGTAATCGCCTTCTCCTCAATACTCTCCAACTCTCGGTAGTATGCGCCTTCGTCCGAGAACACAGCCAGGTGAGCGTTCTGGCGCATGGCATCGAATTCACTACACAGTTCACTGTCCTTCTCCATTGCTTGTTGGGCTTTCACGTCCGCATGACTCACGTCTTTAGCATGACTCATTCGTGATAGCATTCCTGTACGTATTCGTAGATCGTAGCGTGTGTAAGTGAATGCGACTCTATCAACACGTACGAGTTACGATCAACTCCGCGTTGTACTTGTCTTTACCATATCTCATACTTGGTTGCTGAAAGAATACTCATGCATACAAAACACACAGTACAGACAGTAGTCGGTTTTCGCATTCGAATGGGATAACATACCTTTGTGTGTTAGACTCGCTTCGGTTTTGTGGTATTGTGTGGTCCAAGTTTTCTTCGTCTTTGTAAATTTGTCAGAGTGCGACTTATGACATTTCGCCAACTTGGTTTTCAGAGTCGCAAATTGCTACGCGGCGTACAATGATTGGTAGTACCAGATAGTATCAAATGTAGAAGAAAAGTTTATTGGGTTAACGGATATAGAAATATATGAATATATAAATATGCATACATATACATATACACACACACACACACACACATATATATATATATATATAACCATAATATAATAATAAAAATAATAAAAATATAAATATACATATACAGATACAAATATACACATATATATATATATTGAAATAATATAAGTACAAATCAATATATATGGATACGGACAAGGATAAGGACAAGGATTAGGATAAGGATAAGGATAAGGATGTAAATATATATATATATATATGATTCTACGAAACTCCCTAAGAACTCATACCTTTGTCGCTGATTTGTTGTTATCCGTCTCACCACTCAATTTGAGCATGTCAAACAGCTCCAAACCTAACTTTTCCCTGGCTAGGCATCGGTGCAACTTTAATTCACTCTGGTACATTAAAATATCTGGGACGGGAGTCTTGTTGGCAATTGGGGGTGAATGTACATATTAGGGTTTATCAGACATCCAAACTGAGTTTTTTCTCGGGTGTGACACCGGTGTCATTTAGAACCGTTCTCGTGGGTCAGTACACCTGGTACCGCCATATACCTGATTCTCGGGTGTGTAGCTATGGCAACCGTCTCCTTGACAGGGAACCCATGTCCTACCTACGCAGCATACACTCTACAAGCACACACACAAAACACATACAATAACCCATTCCTATCTCACACACTACTTTATCCGCGTACCTGTAATGAAGCATCTGAATTATCCTCTGCCTGTGCCTGTGCATGTGGGGGTGCCCTCTCATGGCCGGGGTGTGTGGCTATGACATCCTTCTCCTCATACAGGTCCACATGCGCAGTACTATCCGCAGGTGTCTCGCTCTCAGTCCCCTGGCTTGCACTGTCCCCCACAGGCACTGTGTGCTCTGTTGAGCTCGGGAGACTATCCTCTGGACTGGTTGTTGAACTAGTTGCGGTGTTTGCGGAAGGTTCTGCTGGTGCTTCGGTGTCGGTTGCGTCTAGGGCCAGGACGACGCTCTTAGGCCGTCCGGCTGTGCTAGAGAGGTGATTTAGTGTGAAATAGTTGTCGCATAATTGTTTATGGCTTGTGGGCCAGGACGACACTCTTAGGCCGTCTGGTTGTACTAGAGAAGAGGTTCAGAGTAAAATTAGTTCAGATATAGGTTTCCACACATATACTAAATAATCAATGGTTTTCAATGATAGTCTAGAACTCCGAAGATCTTCATATATATATATATATATATATACATAAATATATATTGTGTAATATATTGTGTTATATATATATATATACACAATATTTATGTATAGATGTATGTATTAATACATATCGATATAAATATATATATATATAACATACGAACTAGTATGTAATTAATATCGAACTAAATTAAGAGGATCCGTAGGCCTTAAGTATGCATAATTGTAAAATACTGAAGTGCATATGAACTAATGTGAGATTAATATCGAAATAAACAATACGTATCCGTTACGGCCTTTCGTTTACATCATTGTACAGTACTGAAGTGCGTACGAACTAATATGGAATTAATCTCGAACTAAAAATATAAGTATCCGTTTGGCCTACAGACGATACCTACCACTGCGAGGAGCCTCGGCTGGTCGTGCTGGCGGTTGGGACTGTGTCTCTGTGGGCGTTCTCTCAACTTCCTGTCAGTGCACACGACGACGTCAGAGACATGGTGATTAAGAATCGAGCAGCACAATACCAAACGAATGTACTACGGAATGTGTGAAATATGAAACGTATATCAAACGGATTGTAAATAAATGTACTGAACAATTGCAAATGAGGTATTGGCTGCCTCCGGGAGGTTGAAAAAGCATTCGAGCAATGGGAAAGGTGCTAATGAATCTGAAGTAGAGGTGATGCACTACAAACGGTCATTGAATAACCAACCATAAATCCAAATAGGTGAATGGCTGAGAATTATCATATATATATATATATATATGTGTGTGTGTACACACACACACACGACACACTTATTGTATATATATATATACTATATATATATATATATATATACAATATACATATACATACATACATACATCACACACACACACATATATATATATATATATATATATACATAGATACGTATATAAACAAATTCGCATATGTAGCTTGCACACACGTTTGTTTCCTCTTCGTTGTCGGATGAGTCATCGTCCGCTTCCTCTTCGCCCGCCGCCGCCGCAGCAGCTGGACCGGTCTGCACAAGTTCAAATTAGTGGATATTTATAGATACGTAAGTCCATAAATAAATCACTCGATGGTTTGAAAAAACAAAGCTCAGTGCACTTTCAGCTTGTTAATAATAGTCCTGACATTACACCTTCAAAATAAACTTGGTTTATAGTTGATAGGGCGGCACAGACACCTATACATTGTCAACAGCGATAGGTTCTCCGGCTACTAATTAAACAGCCAGGCCTTAACCAGTACCGACGTATATTTGTGCGTACAGGTCACATACTTGACAGCGGAACACTGTACCAGGGTAATGACCTCTACTGACAAAAAAACTATACTTCTGACTATACACATAGACATACTATTCCATGTATATGGCCAAACACACAGACGTACTAACCTATGCTGACAATTGATACTTCTGACTATACATATAGACATACTATTCCATGTATATGGCCACACACACAGACATACTAAAATTTGCTGACAATCAATACTTCTGACTATACATATAGACATACTATTCCATGTATATGGCCACACACACAGACATACTATTTAATATATAGTACCACACACATAGGCATACTATTCAATATTTATGACCACACAGGTAGACATACTATTCGATATATAGGACCTTACACATACATACCACATGATTCAATTTTGATATACCCGGAACTAAGTGCACACGCGCACATACCAGCGAACGCATACGTATCATAGCCCTAACATGTCACTAACACACCAACCTCAATCCTAAGCAGATATGTTTTGTCCTCAACAACATCAGCCCTAAACCTTACTAAACCCAAGTGTATATTGCATCCTGCACTACATACACATTCGGGATAGATTCACAGCGCCTCTCACAAACCCCTCAGCTGCTTCAGTGGCACCGTCGGATGTGTATCGCCCGTGACATCCGTTACGCCGATGGTCCATATAACAAATACATACACATACAAATACAGATACAGATGCACATTCACACACACACAATAAAAAACACACATACACACAATAATAAGCACACATTCACATACAAACACAGACCCCATCCGAGATAGAATTCCTCACGACAGGCACAGACATACACTATACTTGACAGCCCACCCGCACACACCTCAGCGGTTTCGGCGGTGTCATCGTCTGTGCCGTTGTCTGGGACCTCCGCGTCGTCGCCAGCCTCTTCCTCTTCAGACTCCACCGGCTGCACTTCGCGTTTCTTCTCGAAGCCCAGCATGTCTTCCATAGTACTGGGTAGAGCATGGTCGGAGATGTTCGGTACTTAAGCATACACAACATAAAATACATATATACCTATCGTGGCTATGTCTCGAATGCTTTCAGGTAAGATGTAGTATACAGTCGAGTACGTAAAAGGAAAACGTAAAGTATGTGTACACACCGTCCGGTCATTGCCGCGGCCATGGCCATGCGTGCGTCTCGTTGTGGATCTGAATACGTGAACTTAGACGTTTGCGACGGCTTTGGACTCAAACCCGGACTGCCTGGTTTCTTGCCTGCAACAAACGTATTGTAAATTTTAAAGGCAATGTGTGAGAGTAAGCGTGCCCGTTCTCACAATACGAGACTAGATGTGAGGTGTGTTTAATTTTTTTCACGTAGTATATGTGATTACATTGATGCTTATCCATTGAGTGTATGTAATTATATAAATGTACATTGGTTATTGATTTAGTGTATGTAATTACCTAGATGTGTATTATTTAGTGTGCATGTAAATACATTGATGGATATTTATTGATATACCAGCACACTCGTGTACACACACATCAACTACTCAAATAACAAACACACATGCACATACACACCGATTTCACAGATAACAGTCACATACCAATCGCTCAGATACCGTACCGAAATCTACATAACACTCCACTCCAACAACACAACACAACACAACACAGGCACATACCTACACTATTAGATGAGGTGGGGTTTTTATTATTGGGATTGGACATTTGCCGCTGTAACCGCTGTAAAAAGTTTGCCTTGTCCTTGACACTGCGAGGGGGGGCCTCTTCCATCTCATCGTCGGGTGTATTGGGGGTGTCTGGTGTTCCATTCAGGGCGGCTGGGTGAAAGCATGCGAATGAAGGGGCGTGGTGAGTGCGTATTGAACTATGAATTGACGCACATACATACACAGAGACGCACATGCACGCGCATGGACGTACACACACACATTCATATACACACATATATGTATACACAAAGGCACAGACATAGACACAGACACGGACGCGGAAATAGACTCATGCATGAAATCAGACACAGACAGAGAAACACACACACACAC